TTTTCCCTTGCCTGAATTTATTAGGAATATAAACCCAACATAGCATATGAAATAGAATAATGAAACATGTCCAAATCATGTTCGAGTAAACGATACTTAGAGGAACAACATAGCAAATTTTGAACTATACATCTTTTTCGTTAAAAAAGAAAAGAGGAAAACAAGTACGGCATATCCTTTTATTAGTAAAGCCTATGCTTTCCTGGTCGAAACATGACCATAGCCGGCCAGCAAGTCGAGTGGATTAGGGCACTCCATAGCTTATAATTTAGCACTGCATATATGGTGATTGGAAGCCAAGCAAGAGATGCTACTAGTCTCGGCAACGGCCCTTGCTTTTCCTCGTTGTAAACCAAAAAGAAGGTTGCACTAAATGTTAAGACCACACAAACAATTGAAGCAAAGAGTGAAATTAGTCCAACCATCAATTTTGCTGGTAATGAAAATAGAAAATCATCTTCTGTGTAACGTGAAGTTAAGATAGATAAGAACATCATTATGGAAGTTGTCGAGCTGAACAATGCCACTGCATCAGATATAACAAAAATTGTGAACCACCTGTTCTTCAAGAATATTGGAGTTCCTGTTTCATTATTGCCACCTGGTACGGTAAAGGCTGCAGCAAATGCGACCGTGGCAATTAAAGTTGCCACAACCATGCAAGAAGTTGCGGTTTCCTTCATCCACTCTTCACCATCTTTCCTTAGCTTCTTGTGCTCCTTGGAAAATAACTCCCTTGGTGTTTGGTCGTCTCTGTTTTTCACATTGAGTACTGAATATGGTACAATCTTCTCCACTTCCTGAAAACTTACTCAAGTTATTGCATATTTTGCAAAATCCTCAAAAATTTAACTCTCACACGGTGAAAAAGTATTACTTAGAATAGCATATATGAGATTTCAAAGAACATGGTCCACATATATGTTTGATAATAAGAAATTATTCAGTTTCATTACCATGTTAATTTCTCACCTTGAACCATAGTAGTTCTCTCTGCATTTGAAGAGCTGCTCCAGATACAATATTGAGTCTGCTTGGAGGTGCTAATTTCCCAGCCAAGTGCAAAATGTTGTTTCCTTTATTATCTATATTGAGTGTAATTAAATCCTTGACAGCTCCTATGTGGTAGATGAGGCTGAATACTTTCTCTTGTCGGTTAATTACAGCAACATGAAATACGGAGTATTTATTTGAGTCGACTTTCCATATAAGATCAGGATATGAGTGAGTAAGCAGAGTCAGAAACTCAACATTCCCTATTTTTGCAGCATCATGAAATACTTGAGTCTCTTGAATTAGTTTTATGATGTCGGAGTCCGATAATGTCATAATTTGTTCCCATAGCCCCTTTACCAACTGACTGGCTTGTCTCCGCATTTGAAGTGAACTATATATCCTTTTGAAATCTGAATATCTTCACAAAATTAACGTGTGGAACACAAACCCAAAATTTTTGAAAAACTAGGAGTTTAACTGGCATTCTCTGGATAGTTATGATCAAATAGACATTAAAATAAAGTTAGGGATAATAAAGAGAAAAAAATAAAATAAAATCAAGCCCCCGTTTGGCCCCCTTTTTTTACTTTACATTAATTTTTTTTCTCTCTTCATTTCAACCACACATTCATCAAATAAAATAATATTCACACAAATCTAAAATTTTTCATTACTTTTCTATCACATATTCTCCCATCAATCACTATTCTAAAAATTTTCAACACCCTAAAATGAGGGCCAAACAGGGGCTAAGAGTGCAATTGAAGAAGCTTCATCATTTCAAAACATTTTTTTTATCATTGATTCCGTTTACCGAATTAAAACTCCTTGTTGGATGCATATATTGGGCAATTAGTATTTTAACTGTATATATAGTTTTTGGATCTTCCCATAATCTACTTTAACGTAAGACCTTGTTGGAATATTATCCATTTACCAGCAGCTCACGTTGATCACCAGCAAACCAACAGCTTCACCAGCAAACTAGCATTACACGTTCCAGCTCTTCTTCAGTTCATGTGTTCAGAGTGTTCAGCTCCTTCTTCCAGCTTCAGCATTCTAGCTCCTTCTAGTTCCTTCCTTAGTTTGTTATATTGTTAGTTTGTTAGATAGTTTGTTACCTATTTTCTCTATA